CGACGCACCGTTCACGTTCTTCGAGCGGGTGGGCCTCCTTCACTACTTGTTTCTCGGCATGGTTGTCGTCTCCTGCTTCCTCGGCAGCCACGCCCGCCGCATCGTGGCCGCGGAGGGCGGCGCGGGCGACCTCCTGGCCATGGACGCCGGCACCAAGCTCAGGGCCAGGAGCTGCATGCTGCTCGCGGTCGTCTTCTCCGCTGTGGCTGCCGGCTTGGCGGTCAGTGTGTACACGTACATACTCCAGATCAAGTACGTGGTGTTCTCATGCATGCCTGTTGGGGTTCGTTGTGTCGTGTTCGGCGTCGACGCCATCATCGCTGTCGCGGGCACCTACACGTACGGTGAGATGGTGAGGGCAGTCCTGTACTCCTGTTCGCCGATTAGATGAGTCCGGCCTCTCTTGGTTACGACATTAGTGTGCTCCTTGCTGCTGCGTGTGTTCAGTTAGATGTGTGTTTGTTGTTCTGTTGTAACCGTGTGTGTGTGGTAAGATTGAAAAAGCATGAGTAGGAGAGGGCCATCCTCGCGTGTCAGACATCTATCTTGTGTTTCATGTGGTGTATGATGATGTTTATTGTAATTTGCAGCATAATGGCTGGAGTACTATCGTTTGTGGCGTGTATCGTCTAAATGCATGCATGTACTCACATTAATTATTAGCTAGCGCGGCTACTATGTCTACGTGCGTGCTGTATATACACTGTATCATTACACGCTAGCTAGCTCCAAATAAAAAATGTGAAGCTAGGAGTATGGACGAAGGCAACGCCACAGGCCACTGCGGCCACTGCCTAATATAATAGGATTGGACTGCTGTGTTGGAATATCCGGTATGCACTGCTGGAATATCTGGTGTGCACAGCACAGGTCACGGTTGTCACGGTATAGGTATATTGATACTACTACATAACTACGTACAGTATTATTCATACTACTAGATAAAGTCATTAATACCTACAGTCTAATATTTAAAAAGTGTCATTAGATTCATACTTACTAATTAGAAATTACTAATGAATGATATTGACTGGATATACTCCCTCCGTACGTGTCTCAGCTGATGACGTCATGACGATATACAACTGGAGCTGCACTTTATGGTGTTTGTTGCTGCGCGTGCTAGACTGGCGCAGACACAGTAGGTGTGCTCTGGCTTTGCACACCGAATTCATCAACTGAGTTATGAGTTGGATCATCGGTCTCAGGGGTAGGAGGCGTCGGAGGCGTCGCCTGGAATGTTTGATGTTAATAAAAAAATAAATTACAAATTCGTCAGTACTTTACGAGACGAATTTATTAAACATAATTAATTCATCATTAGCATATGTTTACTGTAGCACTGCATTATCAAATATGAACTAATTAGGCTTGAAATATTCGCCTCGTAAATTAGTCGCAAGCTATGCAATTAGTTTCGTAATTAGTCTATATTTAATACTTCATGCATATGTCAAATATCCAATGGGACATCAACTAAAGTTTAGGAGGAGAAATCAAACACCCGGTTAGATTAAACGCACTATGTCGTTAATTTGCTGACCGGCAAAAAGGCTCGCTTAATGAGTACTTTAGAAAATTAAGAAGTAGTACCATGCTTGTTCTAGAGAACTACGAGGGCGGACCACATGCTCAGACCACATGCCCGATCGCTAGCTTGGGCATCTTCGACACATCAGATGTAGGGGTGTACACTAGAAAGATTCCAGCAAATGATCCTACTAATCAAGGGATCTTCTCAGTCTAGACAATGTATAAACATTAAATTAGTCAACCAATGACTTTGCCTTTGAAAATAAGTCTCTTTGGAATAAAGATGGCAACGGGCAAAAATGCCCGCGCCATACCAGTGTCAGTCAGCAATTTTTTTTCGGTGTCCAACCTCATTTTCAGTGTCCGCCAGTAAATTTTGCCTTTTTTATTATCATGTTACAATATTTATTTAGAGAGTCCATCAAGCCGCACTTGGTTAATGTGGTAGATTTTCTAGCTATGGATTTGGCTTCTTCACCAAGTAGACTAAGAAACACGTGCATTTTTTCCTGTCAATTTGGTTGAGCAGAAACGCTGAGGTTCTTGACTACTAAAAGAGATTAGATCCTTATTTTTAGGTAATTTTAGGGTCACATACTTGACTTGCTTTGAACCATCCTCCAAACCACGAGCCAAAATTGAAGTGGCTATGTCATTTGTTGGCGACTATATATTGCAATAGAATATTCATCAGTTAATAATAGGCTTAGGCTCTGTTCGCTTGAACTTATCAGCCGTACCGTCTCATCGAAATAACAGTGTTTTTCTATCACAACAAATCAGCATCAACATTAGCCGTTTTTCCAAGCAGCCGAACAGGGCCTTAGAGATTAGGTTGCTGGTCTTTTTTCGAAGTTGTTTTTGAAAGTTTGCGACTGGTTTGAAAATTGAACGACCACCCATGTTCCACTCGCCGAGTGATCAGTCGTACACTCGAACTGTAGCTTCACCGATATCATATGATTGCACTGTGCTATTCCTGTTGGTTGACAACCAGTCGAGTAGTAGTCGGACAGTCGACGCGGGGTCACTTTTTAGAGTCTCACACAAGACACAATGTCCAGAGCCTTTTGACCCGTCGCACGACAGTTGAGCTCTGCTTGTTGCCAACGCCCAACAGGGGACCAACGTGGATGGCGAGGACGACGAACCGTCAACCGTGCTTGTCGTGCTTGTCTACAGTGCTCTCACTGGCTTAAACGTGTACGGGCCAAATTTGTACGTAGAATTGTAGCCGCTGCCGTTGGCTGGCGCCAACGCTAGCGAGAGCGTGAGCATGCTGGACGGTGGTAGACTATTAGACAGGCAGGATGAAGAGGGCTGGGCTTTGTGTTGACGTGGCTAGCTGAAGAACACAGAGCCAATTATTTTTACATTGCCTAGTACGTATGATGTAATTCAATTGATGGCAGTATATGCTTTTGTTCCAATACATAAAAATTCATTTAGTGTCGCTATCATTGGTGAAAAAATCTTCTTTCTCACAGTTTTTTTTTTTTTTTTTTTGCTTTCATGTCCTTTCCCTTTCTTCTTTCTAAATAGCTAACACGGATGAAAGCAACTAAGATTTGGGTGAAGTTCTTCTCTCCCACACCCCAATTTCAGTTGGCTATCAATTTATAAGGGACTTGTGCTAAAGTTATGGTGATTATTTTTCCATAATTCCTATGTACAATAATTGGTGTAACTAAAGATTCATGTGTAAATCTTTGCCCTATGCCTGTCTTGGATCATCCAATTCGTGTGATAGAGCCCTTTATAGTGCTATGAATTACACACACCAACTAAACTTTGTTCCGTATTTGATATGTTTGCTTAATACAAGGACCCCAAAACTTTGGTCTTTTTTGCATTCTATAGAATCATATATCCGATTTTTTATTTGGATTAATTTCTTTATTAGAGTGATTTGACCTTTCAAATCATTCAAGTAATCACAAGCACTAAATCACGGGATTAGACAGATCCGTTTTTTTAGTACTTTTTTCACTTGGTTCGTGCATGCAATTTAATTTTGAAAATTGTACTCTAAATGTAAAATGAATGTTTCACGTACGTGGTACGTAGGACCACTTGCATGGTCGTATCATTCCTAGCTCGTGGTACGTAGGACCACCTGTATGCACCACCGGACGCGAGGCTTGTTCCTACCCGCCAGGGTCGTCTTTCTGCAAGCGAAAGCGTCCTTACTGCAATTCTTGTTGGGGGTGCATACAGAGAGACAGCACGTAGTAGTACGACACTAAGTGCTTGTTTAGTTCCTAAAAAGTTTGCCAAAAAGTGCTACAGTAGCTTATCACATCGAATCTTGCGATACGTGCTTGGAGCATTAAATGTAGACGAAAAAAAACTAATTGCACAGTTTGGTTGGAAATGGCGAGACGAACGTTTTGAGCCTAATTAGTTCATGATTGAACACTAATTGCCAAATAAAAACGAAAGTGCTATAGTGTCAAATTTCCAAAATTCACGAACTAAACACGTCCTGATGTCGCCAATAGCATCAGAAGAGGACAGCATGCACACATCGCAACCAAGTGCTCTTGTCGCGTAGTCGCACGCAAGTAGTAGGGGACACCAAACCAACCGCTTGGTGTTTTTAGTTGCACGCGTACGTGTAAAGAACATGCCGGGGATTGTCCGATCGAGCCACGCGTTTGGGATTTTTTGGCAAGCTACTGGTGCTAACTGCCAAGAGAAGAAAAACAAAATGAAACGAGAGGAGTGTGTGTGTGTATATATATATATATATATATACAAAAAATAGATTTATTTAATTAGATACCTATCTCTTCCAATTATAATGTGTAGTATAATGTGGTTAGCACTCTCACGTATATGCATCCGATCCAACATATCTTTCTCAAACTTATTATTACCTAGCCAAACAATCTCTCGGGTAGTAGTTTTTGTCAGGCAAACTCTAGGGGCTCTGACCAAACATGCTCTAACCCAGTGTTTGACGACTGGATCCACGTGCAAACCCAGGCCAAAACCTGAGAGTGCTAGCCAAATTAAAGCCACATGCTGTACTAGCTAGTAGACACAGAGTTGTGGTGCTTCGGTCTTCTCGTGATTCTGAAAGCTCGTGAATGTGAGGTTGACAGGTTTATGTTTGGGGGGGCGACGACTGACTGAAGAAGCACCAAAACAATGCCAACTTTGGTACATACTGTACTTTGTAAACAAATGCGCCAAATATCTGGTCCTTGTGGAATTCTTCTTTTCAACCCAATCAAATATACTTCCTCCATTCAAAAAATACAATTCTAAAATAATTTAAAGTTTCGATGCCCCACTTGTCTGAGAGTGCACCGGTGTCACTTGAGCTTAAACTCAGCCACGACACTTCGCCTTCCACCAGAGTCGTTTTTAATCCGCCGCGACCAACAGTAGCTTGTGTAAACCCCAACTCATCGCCTCCATTGCTGCAAGCTCAGAGCTCAGGGGAGCCACCTTTAGACCAAATGGCGTTCCAAAGAGCTGACCCTTCTCCCTTCCTCCCACCAAATATGCACCTGGAGCATGTGGAGAACCGACAGTTCATGGTCAGGGCGGTGGCAAGCTCAAGGCCGCTCCCACGACACGAGGACTGGGCGATCGCCACCATCAACCCTTTGCCGGGTATTGCTCTGAACTTTGATGCAGTCAGTGATGTCCTAGATGATTTCTTTGCGGATGTGGCAAGAGTTCAGATACGTTCGATTCAGCGTACCCACCTTGGTCAGGCTCTTGTTCGGTTCAATCGGGTTTATGACAGGGATACTCTGATTGCCAATAGCCCTCATCAGTTTGATAATGTTTCCATTTCCTTAATTTGTGAGGCACAACCAAGGCCGTAACTGGAGGCGTGTCACCTTCAACAGGGAAGTGTGGCTTATGTTACTAGGTTTCCCTTTTGATTACTGTGAAGAAGAATACATAGATAATGCCTTGGCCCCTTTTGGAAAGGTAATCTCCTGGGATAAGAACCCTGAGTTCAAGACAAGGCTGATGGTTAGAGCTCGGGTAGTTGATCTGGAGTCCATTCCCCACTTTATTGTTTTCTCAGAAACTAAAGGAATGGACAGTGATTTGTGGACTATATGCGGGATTGCATGTTGAAGTGGCAGATGGAGGTAACGGGGACGTGGCAAAATGAGGCGCCAGGTCACATGGTACAAATGAGACGTGGCAGTTGAAGGTCCATATCGAGCTGTGAGGATAGCTGCTAGGAGTTCTTACATACATGGTTGAAACGTTGCTAAGGTGAGCGGGCGGCTGCCTACTAGAGCTATCAATGGCAAACATTTCAAAAAGGTACCATCCTAGTGTATGGCAAGATGCATATATATATATATATATATATATATATATATATATATAGAGAGAGAGAGAGAGAGAACTATTATCCAGTAGATGGCTATAAAATAACTTATTCTGTAGCCACTTTGAGTTACGATAATTACTATGTTAATTTACGATATTATAGTAACTCCATACTAAGTGGTTTACTGTAACGTTATATATAGTAAATATCTCCATGTGTTATAGTAACCTAACTATCGTAAATATGTATTGACATTATCGTAAATTAGTATATAAAATTATCATAAATTGAGGTGGCTACAGAATAACTTATTTTATAGCTGGCTACTGAATATACTTTTATATATATATATATATATATATATATATATATATATATATATATATATATATATATATATTATCGATAAAATATGGTCGGCAGTCTACCTAGGGGTATGCCCAAGATAGTAGATTATCAGCAGGCAGGTGCGCAAGCTACGAACGAGATGATGACGCAAGACAGACACGAGGTTTTATCCAGGTTCGGCCGTCGTGAGAGCGTAATACCTACGTCATGCGTCTGATTGTATTGCTGTATGTCAATGAGATTGTTTTTGAGAGGGGTCCCCTGCCCGCCTTATATAGTCTGGGGGGGCAGGGTTACAGATCTGGAAACTAATCCTAACCGGTTACAATTGCCATAGGTGGCCGGATAAGGATTCATATTCTAACCGACCAGGATCTTACTTAATCTCCAAGTCTGCCTTGATTCCTTACGCGGGACTCCGAACAGATCGGCTGGGACGCACGTCTCTCTTGGTGGACCGAACCCCCTGGTCCGGGCCAGCCCAAATCTAGCCGTAAGGGTATAGAGGTTAATACCCACACACACATACACACACACACACACACACATATATATATATATATATATATATATATAGTTACTTTCATAATCAATAAATCACGTATATGCACATACTTATTTATCAGTTTGAGTATGTTGACATACTAATATTAAGATACTTCATATCTTTACTATGTGAAAAAAATTTCAAAAGAGCACATATTTTTTAATATATTATATAATATTATGATAGTAACATATAAAATAAGTATAACCATATACTTTAAGTATACATACATACTTATTATACATAGTACCATAGATGGTCTAGTATGATGATATACTCCATCTACATACACTTCGTCGGGCCATATACGCTCTAAATCTAGAGATATACACATGGGAGTAACTACTCCCTGGGAGTAGGAAATAATTTCGGTATTATTTATATATATATATATATAACTAAAACATTCATAACTATTACGTCTACGTGTGCGACACTAAAACCGCTAACGCAACCGAATCGTGCAACAAAATTTGGAGTCGTCGGTCTGTCTTCCCCTGCGATCCTTGCTGCCGCTCGCCCACGACCACGACGCGCGAGGTAAAATGGAAAGCCAACACAATCACCGTAAGGAATTTTGCCTTCCTACAATCCTACTTCACCCTCGCCTGATCGGTCGCACCTGCACTCAATCCTCGTGGTGGATTTGGCCTGCCTCCGACGTTGCCCTCGCCCTCGCTTTGCCCGGCAAGATTTGGACATCGCACCCATGCCGTCATCACGCGTCGCCTCGCCATTGACGTGCTCTATGATCCTGGTGAGTCTTGTATACGCATCCGCCACCACTCTCCTCCTTCCCCCCTATTTGGATGTGTTCTTTGCCGATCTACCAGGCTGCGCAGAGCCGCGGACTCCAAATCATCTCTCGGCCGTCCCTCTCGCCGATCGCTGCTATTCCGCCTGCCGGGGCCCGCGCCTACGCCTGCGCGCTCACCGGTTGGGGTGACGGCGATAGGCGACCTGTCTGCCAGTGGGCCCGCTGAAAGGATCAAGATGCCCAAGAGGGGAGTGAATTGGGCTAATTCTAAATTTCTTTGCGATAATTAAATCCTACGGTTAGCCCAATTCACCCCTTGTGCCTAGAAAGTGTTTCTAATAGTTCTACCGCACAAAAAACTTGTAACCTATGTTACAATCCTACTCTAGCATGGCAATTATAAGAATGTAAATGACAAGAATTGAATTGCTCAAAGTAAAGAGAGGAGGAGGAACGCGGTGATGTTTTGCCGAGGTATCGGAGAGTCGTCACTCCCCACTAGTCCTCGTTGGAGCACCCGCGCAAGGGTGTAGCTCCCCCTTGATCCGCGCAATGATCAAGTGCTCTCTACGGGTTGATTCTTCGACACTCCGTCGTGGTGAATCACCCACAACCGCTCACAACTTGAGTTGGGTCATCCACAAGCTCTCCGGATGATCACCAAACTCCCAATCACCACCAAGCCGTCTAGGTGATGGCGATCACCAAGAGTAACAAGCACGAACTCTCACTTGACCACGACAAGCCTAATGAGAAGGGTGGATACACACTTTGCTACTCTTGATCTCACTAATGAGGGCTCTCTTTGGGATTCTCAAATCTCAATCACCTCACTAGGACCTTGCTCTTCTTGGCACTCTCAAACGTGTTTCTCAGCTGTTGGAATGAGCAAAAGTACCCCCACACACGAGTGGAGGTGGTATTTATAACATGGGCTAAAAAACGAACCGTTATGTGCCTCTGCGGGGTGACCGGACACTCTGGTCATGTTGATCAGACGCTCCGGTCAGTACACCCCGAACTCTAGTGTTTCTGATGTAGACGTGGACGGCTGGGCGGCGTCCGGTCAAGACCTTGACGACAACGCGTCCGATCATGATTTTCCCTCTCTGGAACCTTACTGGAGTCGACCGGACGCTGGCCCTCAGCGTCCGGTCACTTCATCTCTCAGCGTCCGGTCACGCCAAACAATTTCACCTTGGTCAAATGAACTGACCGGACCGAAGCCAGCGTCCGATCAGTATTTGACCCTCCATTCACTTCCAACTCTCAATCATATGTGAATGAAGTTTGCTCCAGTGGATCTAAGGGCTATTTTGGAGCTACCTAGTGCTAGATTTAGTAAGTGTGCACCACACCTAACTCACTAGACTCACCTAAGTCAAGCTACCCGTCTATACCCCCCTTAATAGTACGGCCAAAGAAAAAAACAAAGTCCTAAACTACTCTAAGTGTCTCTCCAACTCCAATCTACACTTAAAACTAGTCCATTCTTAACCTTGTCATCCATCCTTTGAAAACCAAAATGATTTCCATCATAGGGGCATGACCAACATGATTGCCCAATCGATCACCATTACTATGACCTAACTTAATTGCCTCTGTAAAACACACGTTAGTCATAGTAATCTTGTATTATCATTAATCACAGAAACCCATCTAGGGGCCTAGATGCTTTCACCCGCGCCTGTGCGCTCACTTGCCAGGGCGACCGGCCAGCATATCTCTACCATGGAAGAGGCAGAGGATGAGGGACTGCCAAGGGAGCATGAGGCGACATTCGTGGCGGACTCCGTCTCCCTCAGCGCGGATCTGAGGTGTTGATGTTTGCCTCTCTGCGTAGATGTCGTCGACGGAGGCGAAGGCGGCGGTGGTCCCGGAGTCTGTGTTGCTCAGGCAGGGCTAGTTTGGCACTACGTACCTCTGCGTGGAGTGGGCCAACGACAAGGAGTTCACGTGCAAGTCCATCCTCATCCCCGAGACCCACTCCCTCGGCTTGGGGCAAACAAAATCAAAGACACACCACTAGACCCTGCTTGGCCCAGGAGCAATCGAATGAAAATTTTAGGTATGATGACACAGAGGAACCACTCTATTCTTGCTATTCTTTAATAAATTGGAGTTCTAATTTTCTATGCTATGTGCAGATCCGAAATCAAGGCTACTTTGCTTCATTCTAGGTAATCTAATACTACCCAATTTTGTGATGTTTGAGTGGTAATTGGATCTACACCTTTCTTTCTTTTTGTTTTTCTAAAGCTACTGCTTTCTACCCAGTAGCAGCAGCCGTAGGTCAAAGCACATCAGCCTGCTGATTTATAGAACTATGGATGCTACCGCTGCCGCTACTGATTTTATATATCTATATAAGTGCTTGTCTCAGATTCACAGAAATCGACTACTGATCCACATAGAACTATGGTGCTTGTCACAGAATAGCTATATGATAGGATCCTTTGCAATGCTCTTTTTCTTATATAAGTTGGTGATTTTCACCTTGTAAAGGAAGGGACATGCTATTTTCTTTTATGAAAAGTAATGCCTGCAAACTTATGTTTTTGCCCCTTATCACTACTACAATAAGCATTTGTAGGGGCGGCTGGCGATGGTTTGTAGAGGTGGCTTGGCCAGCCGCCCCTACCATACCGTCCCTACAAATCATGCATTTATAGGGGCGGTTCCAGACCGTCCCTACCAATCGATTGGTAGGGGCGGCTGGTGTTGTAGGGGCGGTCGTAGTACCAGCCGCCCCTATAATACCTGTTTGTAGGGGTGGTTCAGTCTAGAACCATCCCTACAGTACATTTTTCAGCCAAAAAAATTTAAATTTACAATTTAAATTCGACCGGAACATATATTTTTCATGCACAACTCCATCATG